ATTTACTCAATCAAATTGTTTTATTTGACGATGTGCTCCGAAATGCGCGACTTCATTTTTAAACTTTTTCATTGACAAGTAAATAGAATTGAAGTTATAATATCGAATATAGATGATCGTTAGACACACATACGTCATCACATACTTTCTCCCGACTGTCGTTTCACATTTATTCTCATTCCTCGGATAACTCTCAGTTTTCCACGTTTCAGACATTTTGCCCCACTTCGCGACCACATTCTTCAATCAGTTTACCTTCGATTTCATTACATTTCGTATGCATCTTATATTAATTATTTCGTTATACCTTCATCATTTATCTCAATCAAGACATGAAATATATCTAGCTTGGCAATTAATTTCCAATGATTAACTTAAGAAGCCGGGAACCGGTTTTCACGTCGAGATGTCGTATTTTTAATTTTTAAATTTTTATCACGGTGATAATAAATTTGTCTACATTCACAACGCGTTTAGATTCATCAGGTAGCGATTTTTCTCACGTTTGGAAATATTGTCACACGACCTCTTATCACTCTGTACTCTCGCGATGAATCTTATTCGCACCTCTTATCGCGGGAATCAGTCGGGTTTACTGTGCGATCTTGGTTCTCCCTTTCGGTCCTTCCGGTCTGACAGCTCGGTGTCCTCGCACGTGCACCGCGATATGACAATTAGAGGAATACGAACCGGAGGCTTTGCACGATCGCGACGGATACGCGTACGACCGATCCGACTGAATGTGTTTCTCGCACTGAGCGAGCCAAGTCTCGGTTGGGCAACGTACATGCACACCTCCACATTCGAGGGGGTACGCACACACGCAACGCGAGAAAGGTATATCCACACCGTCTTTCACGTTGCATTCACCTGACGTGGTGAGCAGAGGCCGGTATAGCACTTGCACGCATATATATACATAGAGAATTGTGAATAGGCGAGTATCTGGATTCTGCAGGACAATGACTGAAGAAAATTACCGAGGAACGAATGGCCTTGTCAAAGGAGAATTAAAGAGAGAGAGAGGGAATAAGGAAAATTTCTTGTGCGCGTCGATCTCGGCGACTTTACCTTCGATTTCATGATCACTTTTACACGCGACATGGAACGGGACAAAAATTATATATTATACATTCCCGGACGCGCGAGTCCGTAAGATTCGAATTCGAATTCTTCGGCTTCTCTCTCGTCTTACCTCATGCTTTTACTTTCTCTTTCGTGTGTAAACTGGGAGGAGATCCTCTTGCTGGCTAGAAAATTTTAAATCGGTAAGAACATTTTATGTGGAGTTAATAACCCCTCGCAAGCAGTTCGTGTTTACCATCTCGCTAAAAGTCATCAATTATTCAGGTATTGTTTAAACATTAAATGTCAGGTTTTGTGGATGCGTCTTTATACCTGAAATAAATTTATTTGGTGCATCAGCATGTTTGTAAAATAATTCCCGATTGTCTACGTTAAAGGATGCACGATTGACCCAGATAAGATGCATCTTGAGCTGCAATCGATTGTATATGATTATATAAGTATTTTCTTGTTCACTTATAGATCAGTGCTGGGATTATATTGTGCTGCACGCATTTCATTTATTTATGACTTATTCATGATTTCTAGGTAAATTATACTTCTACGCATATTTACATTTTTCTTCTGCTAACATGGCATGCGCAATAGACAATGATCTTTGATTACGTCAATCTATTGATGGATCAAACACATTTTCAATTCGTCGCAAAAGGATATACTTCTACGTATGTATGATGTATGTTTATGCTTTATAAGTTATATAAAAAGCTTGTTCTTTTTACGCAGTTATTTAATGTAAAGGAAATATTAATTTAATCTTTTGCGTATCTTGCTAATTGAATGCGAGAGAAGTACGCTACGTTCTTTTTGTGAAAGTCAATTACTAATATAAATAATAATCTAAGTTCTATATGTTGAAAATCACAAATTCTATTTGATCGAAAGATTTTAGAAGAAATTATTTCTACACTAAAAAAAATTTTGTTGGATTAACAAAAATTCTGTTCGAAAATGGACGAAACGGAATTCTGGTTGAATCTACCAGAATTCCTTTTAATACAACAAATATCTTGTTTGCACCAACAAACTGATTTGTTGTACAAACAAGATGCTTGCTACATTAAAAGGAATTCTGGTAGATTCTTGTTGCATTAAAAGGAATTCTGGTAGATTCAACTAGTAATTCCGTTTCGTCCATTTTCGAACAGAATTTTGTTAATCCAACAAAATTTTTTTTCCAGTGTAGATCATTTAGAGATAATTAAAATTCGGAGCAAGAGATCTGTTGGAAAATGCAAGTCAAAAATAATAACGCCATGCGGAAAAGTTAACATTTCGCGGTGCAAAGATTAAAAAGTTTAAAATATAAAAATTGCATGCTTATACATACGCATAGAATAGTATGCTTCAATCTAAGCAATTTGGTCGAATCACACAAAAACTCGCCGCTCAAGGCGACGTAAGCGCATACATATGAATAACTAGTTTTTTATACGTGTATGCACTAGCTAAAGTTTCGCATATATGCGCTCATATGTGTGAAACCTGCTTCTCGATCTTATAGAGACATATACATATACACGTAAATGCGCACATTAGTCACTTTCGTTTCGAATCACCAATATATACATACGTATGCGTATACGCATTTTTAATCCCGAGCATGTGTGTCACTAAACGAAAGCGTACGGCTCCGTGATCTTCCGCATGTATCAGCCATTTTATACTTTAGACCAGACAAACGGCTGCACACGAGCGACAAAAAACGCATGAATGCTGCATATATTTGTTGCGTATTTATTAAGCAATACTTGTAGATAATAAGAATACCACTCACACATATGCGCGATAATATAGATCGCTACGTGTATATTGTTTTTTTATTACCATCTAGTTAAAAACGCTACATTCAATCAACACGTCTAGTTTTGCTTCTTATTATGTGCGACCGATTTTGCGTTTATTATCCTCGTCCGAGAAAAAAAAAAGAGAGGAAAACAGGATAAAGTTGCTTTTTAGCAGTTTGAAGAAGTGGGGAAAATCGCAGTCGGAATTATATTGACCGGAACAGCAAGAATTTACATGACAAAAATTTATTCACACATATATATATATATATTTGCATACGCACGCTTTTGATAAATATTCTTGATTTTATAAAAATTTATTTATATTTTCAAGTCTTATAGATTTCTCATTGGTATAAAAATTTTGAAAGATATGTTAAAGAGCGTTTCACGATTATAATTTGAGATTATACAATTATAATTAATAATTATACTTTACGACTTACGAGTTGCATTATTTTTGGCAATTTTATAATCGTGATCATACTTCTTCGATTCGTTGTAATATGACCGTAGAAATCTACTACAAGTGCAGTTAAATTTAGCACACTTTTTCGCAATAAATATACTAACGTACATATATATTTAATAAAAAATAATAATATATTAAATTGTTAATGAATTGCGATTAATTTTCTAGTATCAAATATTCAAAATATTAATTTCAAGAACTTGCATTAGTCGATAAAATATATATGATATGAATTATTATATAAAAATAAAATAAATTTTTACATATAGAGCAATTGAATTATATGATTTTAAAATAACACAAAGTGACTATTTTTTCGAAATAGGTTCTATTATGTACTTTTGTTCGTTGAGCTCTTTTTCTTTCTTCTGAAAAATTTAGTTAAGTGGATATTTATGTCGTTTTAAAATCACATGATTGCATTTATCATGAATTACAATTATTAATTAAATAAAACTCTTCTTTCAAATCTTATGCTATCTTGTTAATATCTGATTAATTAAATGCGATTTGCATAAATGGTATGATAGATTTAGGTCTACTAAGTAACAAAATAAATAATCAGATATTGTTTTATAAAAAAGTTAATTTAAAATTATAAAAATTATTGATTATAAAATCACTTGATTAGATGTGATATAATCGCTATCGTTTATATAATTGTACAATATTCAGGCACGTTTAAATAGAAAGTGCAAGAAGGCCTTACATACAAGGTATTTATATATACATATATATTATCTGATAGTATAATCAGAAAAGTAATGATTTTACATGAAAAAAATGAATGTGTAAAATGAAGTTGCTTCGCAAGAGTCTTTATTTTCGAAAAAATTGATTATTGAAATTGAAAAATTAATAAATAATTACATTTTTTAAAATAATTTCTATAGAAATCTCTTATGACATATTATCTTTTCATAATGGTTTTTACAAAATATGTATAAATGCAATATTTTCTCCATTGAAAAAAATTAAATTTAAATATTGTAAATATTTTATACATAAATCCTTCCATATATAACTTAATTTTAATTTAAACTGTTATGTTACACTAAATGAATTTATATTGTTACAAAATACGTTTATAAAATATTTTTTCCGATGTTTTTACATTAAAAAAAAATTTATTGAATTCATATAAGTATATTTATTATACTGCCCAATGAATTATTTATTTGAAGCTAATAATATTGATTTGATATGAAAAATATTTATTTGATATAAGAAAATCTTTTTAAAACAAATAAAATATTAATTTTTTTATTTTAAATAAATGATTTATTTAGGAGTATTCAAATAAATATTTATTAATTTAATCATTTTTTCAGTGTATAAATAAAGATTTTTTCTTTCGCAAATCAGTACAACAAAACACAAACTATATGGAACATACGAGAGTAATCTATTGAAGGATGGAATTTATTTAACTAAGCAACGGGAGAAAGTGTTAGCAATGAGATAAATCAGTTATTAATACTAACTTGAAAGCAAAAGGATTATGATAACACTTACTGATAAGCGATGTAGAAGTCGTCAGTTTAGGACATGTAAGTCATATCAGTAAATGCACTGATGCTACAAGGAAGAAGTTATGTGTTTAAAGTTTTTTAATTAATTTAGTGGAAAATAAAATCTTATATGAAAAAAAGAGTATTTTACATATTTATAACATATACATATTTTTTTCATTACTTTCCTCGTTATACAACCAGTTATGAATCAAATTTGACATAGCGTCATGAAAGATTCTCTTGAAATTCATTTTAATCCCTTGAAAATATTATTAAATGTTATTTTATTTTAATGTGTGTAACAATATTTTCTTACCTATTTTCTTGCATTATACATGGCAAAAAAGAATTAATGATTATCAGCATCTATTTTCCACTTTGATGAACGTGATTGTTTATAGATCATCGAAATAATGGAAATTATATATATGTATTTCATTTTTAGTAAAGCTTTCCTAATACTCGAAATCTAGATAAACAGCCATCCGGGTTTATCACAAGTTTTACAAAACTTATATTCTGCTCTTGATTATGCACACGAATTATTTGTCGAGAACCAGGTACCACCTGTAAAATAAAAAACACGAATGTACTTGATTAGTATTTATTCATCTTTTTCACACAAATTTTACATGCATTTATAAAGTTAGTAGAATCGAAACAGAAGACAATGAATTTTTTTAAGACAAGAAATCAATAACGAATAAAAAAGTAATATATGTATAATAAAAATAAAATCTCTCAAATGATTAAATCAAACTTACGATGGTTTCATTTACAATATTTTTCCAAATCTCTTGACTATCATTTGTTTGTTTATTTAAGAGTAGACAATCGTTTGTAGTTGCTTGCACTTTTACAACGTACGGAGCATTCCCTGTACAGAATTCGGTATTGATCATGATAGAATCGATCTCACCACGTAGTCCTAACTTAAATATAGCCCATTCTTCCCCAAATACCTAAAATTCATAATGCAAGAATCGTTTATATACTTTGTAGAAAATTATACAGTATATTTATATACAGCATTTCGTGGTGCGAAAAAAATATTTTCTATATTCTTAAAACAAAATATAAAATGCATATTAAATGGTACAAAAATAGTTTTTAGATTATTACTTTTACAATTATTTTTAATATTTTTATGTACTTTACTTACATATCTTGATTGTGTAAGTGTGTTGAAAAATGGTATCTCATCAAACTTCTCGCAGTATGCCATCCATCATCTTCGTTAACAGGATCTGAACACTTGATCAAATTATTAGGATGTGCGTTGTTGTAACAACTACTGTAGGCTATACAAGTACCACCATAAATCTTAGAGATGAGATCAATTTCTTTCTTTTCCGGTAATGTGTATCCGGGAATAACTATCACTTTTCCGTAAACACGCAGTCTGCTTATACCACCGTCTGGAATGAGGTTGAGCCGCAAATGAGTAAATTCTGCTCCGTTATTTATATGAAAAAACTTCTTATTCATCGACACATAACCAGGATTCAGCGGTTGCGGTACAATCAAATATGGCCAGGTCTAAAATCACATTTGGTAATACATAGCAAAATATTATAGAGAAGGTAAAAAAAAATCATCGATACAACCCCTTGTGTGCAAAAAACCCAACACTAAAAAGTATACAATAATCCATAAAAAGTAAAGTAACAATAAATTTAAATGTTTTTCATTTATACTTTTATATAGATATTTTTATATTTCTAAACCAAAATAGAAACTGATTAATCAAAAATATTATATATACAAAAATTTATAACGCTCTTCATATAATTTTGATAATAATTTATGACATATTAAAATTTGTATTTTTGAGACCTGTGATTGGAGCCACTCAATACGGGACAACTCTTCCGGGGTCGCATGAGTGCCAAAATTTTTGTCACGAAATTGATAGATCGAAAAATCAAGATCTGTACGCAATAAATAATGTATTAATAAATACACATACACACACATATACATATATATCCATATAAATAAAAATGCAATTAAATAAGAATATCAAGTTCCATATAAAAGTTAAAGGGTAAGAAAGGAGGGTGGGAGAAAGAAAAGAGAAGCGAAATACAACAAAATTATCTCTAACAAACCTGTTGCGAATAATTTGCCTTGTAAGGAAAACTGGTGTGCAACATTGCCTATTATAAAAGTAGTATCTACACAAATGAAATGTATTTCAGCTCTCATTGCTAATTTAATAATAGCAAAATCAAAATTTAACGCTCGCTTTCTTTGGGTTACCCATCCATCTATCGAAACAGTTAATTGTTGATTATTTAGTTCCATTAAACCTTTTTCTGTAGGATCAGCTTGCTGAAGTAAAATATCAATGACAATATGTAAATAAATAATGAGATGCTGTATATTCAATTATATAATTTTCTATTTATGTTCTTCATGTATTTAATAAACTATACTTTATATATTTTTACAATATTGAGAAAATAAATATTTTTGCAATTATTTTATAGTCCAAATATTCAGAATATATTATATGCGACTTTTTATCGATTTTTCACGTTTCTTTTTGGCAAACATTAATGTGTAAGTCGAAATATACAATTAAACATATAAACAAAAAACTATTTTTAAATATTACGAAGCAGATCAATCGTCGAATGTCAATCTATCGGACTAGGTTAATGTCTATAATTATATAAGAAACTGTATAATCTAATTCTAATTGTTACATTTTTTATACAAATACTTTTTATATATTTAATTTTATATATTTAATCACTTACTTTAAGTAGATTTTCAGCTACACCGTAAAAATCATTGGTTGCAAATACAATTTTTGCTCCATTCTACAATTTAATAGATTATTATATTATAATCTTTATCTCGATTTAATTTAAAAAAATAATTTACTTTATGAACATATTAAATTATTGCATAAAAAACTAATATAAAAAAGATAAACAATATTAAAAAATTATTTAAAAAATATGAAATATATAATTAGCCTTTATTAAAAATTTAAGACTGCATAAAGTAATATGATTAAGAATACAAACCAAACATGTTGCTATTGAAACGGATAAATGTTTTGCTATGTATAAAAGAGAATTCAAGAACTTAACATAATTTAAGAATAAACTTTTTCCGTTTAACTATTTGACTTTAAAATTATACATATACATTCCTATATTATTGAAAGAATTTAAAAAAAGAATGTCGAAACGTTCCCAAAACATTAATTCTTTATACTTTTATTATCATAAAATGTTTAACAAGAAATTAGTATATTCGTTTGAATATTTGGCTTGTATTATTTATCAAAGCGTCACTTTATAAAAAGAAGTTACATCTGCAGATGATAATTCGCACAATTCTGTCATCTTTTCCACTTTAAGCTTTTCGGAATTGAGGTCTTCTACACGATTTCAACTATAATGCAAAAATAGCGTATTGGTTTTGAATAAGATATAAGTTAAGCTTATTTAGGATTATACCTAATTTTTTCGAAATATTTTATATTATATTATATTTTAAATATTTTATATTATGATTAACAATCATAATAATAATATAACAGAACATGTTTTAATCGATGAGAGAAAAGTTTATATCGATATCTTCAAATTTATTTTCCGAAATAATGAATTATTTCTGTCATTAATAATTATTAATTAATAAAAGAGATAGCTATTTATATTATATTCCATAAACTATTGTGCACTTGCATTGTAAAATAATTATATATAAAATATTCAAAATTATTCTAAAACACTCTTTAAAAGTTATTTATTAGATATTTCTTTTGAATATACTTGCTCTTACCTGTTTTCACAAACGCGTTCAATAGATGCTTCAAGTAAACTAAAATTTTAAACACTTGTTAGTAATGTATACAAGGTCATTATTATGAGCAAACATATAAGTACATGCTATACGGATTATATTATATTTATATAATCCACATAACTTTCTGTTTAAATACATCATAACTGTTTTGTATCAAAAAACGATTATTTTTGAATTCACATAAGAAGATAATATTCTTTCTTTTCAGTTACATGTTCTATTTTTTATCGTTTTCAAGTAAAATAAAATGTACGCGACACACCAGAGATTTCTGTAATAATATAATTAATAATAATAATTATATAAAAACTGATAATAAACTAAAATAAATAAGGATTTAAAAATTATTAATTATAATTTAAATAAAATATTTACCTTATATATATATATATATATATATATATATATATAAACATTTCAGAAAAATAATAAAATTCTAAATAATAAAATGGAAAATTCTCAATATTTATTGTGTTTCATGATCAATATGTTACCACCGATGAATATGATATTAATAGAGTTATACCAAACATAATTATCGTTTCTAATGATTCTATTTCTGGCTTGTAACATTAATCTAATAATTGATTGCTTGGTAATACTATTATTTTTATTTTACATTCTGTTCAGATTTATAATAAAAACAAAAGTCATTTAATATTTATATTTAATATTTATATTTGTATCAAAATATATAATCGGTATTAAATTATTCTTATATTAATCTATTTTCACAAGACGGTGCATTTATTTCATTGATAATGTTGACCAATTCCTTCACCAGCTCTCTGTCGGTTACATTAATAAAATCATTTTCATTAACACCCATTTTGACTCTATTTGCACCATAGAGCATTTTCCGCTTCTTCGCCGACGCGTGAAACTCTTTGGCACCAGACTCCATGATTTTACGAATGTTATCTTTGTGATACCAGCTCCAGGCATAATTATGATTTTTTGCGTCTTTTGTAATAACGTTTTTATCAGTCCTAATCCTTCCAGAGCGCTATTTTTCTGTCCCGATGTCAGAATTCTCTGGAAACCGAGATCGGCGAGGATTTGCATCGATTTTATAGGATCGGACGTGAGATCGAAGGCACGGCTAAACGTCATCGGCAAAGGACCAGCGGCGGAAATCATTTTCTCGCATGCGACAGTGTCGATCTCCCAGTCGGAAGTCAATGCGCCAAACACGAATCCGTCCGCGTGATGATCTTTGAGGATCGTCAGATCGTGCAGCATAGCGTCGATTTCTTCACTGGTGTAGACGAAGTCGCCACCGCGAATGCGAATCATGACGTAAAGAGGGATTGTCGCGAAATTCCTTATTTGCTTGATTAGACCTGGACTCGGTGTTAGACCACCTTCCGAGAGAGCTGAGCAAATCTCCAGTCGACTTGCACCACCTTCGACCGCATTCCTCGCTGATTCTAAAGAATCGACGCAGATCTCCATCTGCAAAGTGAGATGGCTAGTTAATGATAAAAATATTTTTTTAATGTACTAACGAATCAATTTTCTTTTAAATATAATTGTGTATTTTTTATATGCGTCTTCTCATTATTTTTTATATATAAAAGTCAAAATAAGAATTATCAAAGAAAAGTTTATGCTTTATATATATTTGATTTTATTTAATATTATAAAAAAATATATTTCTGAAAATATAAATATATAATTGATTGATATATTCGGAATATAGGCGGCAAAACGTTGTATCATACTCTGACAGACCGATACACGATGAAATTATCGATTGAAGGAAAAAAGAATACCTTTAGAGCCGTAAAACAGGTATGTATCTTATACAGAAAAAAATTAAAATAAAAAATTTATCGAAGCGAATGTTCGATTGAATTGAATTATCGATTGACTTACCTCGGTTGAACAGCTGCTGCGATTTGGTTGATAATAATATTGCCTTAAATAAGTTGCCAGTTATGTGCTGTATGTTGTCATATTCGGAGCCTTAAACTATTTTATTGCAAATTTGTTATCTCTGATTTCGTTAGTAAACCTGCTTGCACGTTACCGATAACGAAATTGTACGTGTATATATTCGCGCCGAATATCTCGAAACGTGCCGCAATAAAAATTCTGTTCAAACTCGGATCAGAATCACTGCATCTCAACACATGGCTATGATACTTAAATATGGTTGCCAACATGCTGTCTGTACGTCGAAGCTGTGTAGCGAGTCTCGCCATCTGTATTTTACCGAAAGGAATGTCGTATATATTGCGTAATGATAACGCTATTGTTCATTGATTGGATGCCTGTTTGAACTGTCTGATAATGATATCATCTGTTTATTCGACAGATGAATATATGATAATAATTAATGGAGCACAAAGATGATTTCCAATATTCACTGCAATAATATATAAAATTTTACTGAAAAATTAATCAACAATTATATCTGTAATTATTCCATTCGGCAATCAGATGAGATAATAAAAATTCAATTGCATATGCTGTATGTTAATATATGTTATTATTATCGCTATATATTATATATGCATATTTGTTTCGCCATCATGGATAATACTTTTTTAATTATCACTAATTAACGCACATTTACATCTATAATGTACTTATATAGATTCACAAAATATATAAAATTCTTATTTATTAAAGAACAGGTTTTTGGATACAAGGTCTATGAAGCGTAATGTAATATTGTATTATACACAACATATATATAATATATAATAAAATAATACCAAGTGCGGCGCATATGTAAATAATAATAATAATAATAATAATAAAATCAATAAAATAATAATAGTAACAAATATATCAAGCAAACTTTATGAGCGATGACAATAAGATTTTTTAGAATTGAGGGGATAAGACACTTTTAGTAGCGTATTAATTTTTTATATCAAAAATCAGTTTGTTCGGGGATCGCTTTTCCATTGGCAACTGACAAATATATATATATATATATATATATATTATATATTAATATATATACAGTGCGTATTTGATGTAATTTAAAATCGATTTCGGAGATTACGCACGTAATTAAGAAGAGCGCATTGACTTTCATAATTTAAATCGTAAATTTGCGCTCTTAATTTATGAGCCGATGAACATTGTGACCAAAATGTAATCGTTCACATCTCGTTGATTTATTTATTTAACACACTTTCTAACAAGATTACGATCCTCGAAGAATATTCGCGCACGAAATTGTCTATCCCACATATTTCGTTTGATTGTTTAAACTGTTAAATATACAATTAACGCGTATTCGCACACGGGCCTAGCGTAATATAAAAAAAATGTACAATTTATAATTATCATCGCATTATTTCCCAACCACAAGCGGACCTAGTTTAGCGTTTTCGGAAAAAAGTGTCAAGGTGATAAAAATACACATAATATAAATTCACATGAATTTCGAGTAATATTTATCCGGCGTGTTTCCAAGAGAGAAGATAACTCTCCTTCCGCCTAGATCCACCTGTGAATCCGACTAAAACTCAATAGCGATGATCATACAAGGAAAAAGGGAAAGGTGAGAGTTGAGAGACTTGGAAAATCAGAGATCGCCGTTTGAGACCGCGATCGGCGATGGGCTCGTGGAACTGTTGGAATTCGTCGTCGCCCATTTATTCTTGTGTGGATCGACGCCGAAGCCCTCGTCATAGTTTCCTCGTGTGATGAAGAGCTGCTTGAAGTGCGGGATGCAGTACAACTTGCCGTTGTTCAGCGTGAAGGAGTCCATCCTGTTCGAACACATCACGTCGTGACAATGATTTCGTTACGATAATTTCACATATTCAACATTTTCGTTTAAACATAACGAGTATTAAAAGTTGGATGCGAAAAATAACATATAAAAGTCACCACACTATTCAATATATAATTGTCTTATATTAAACATCGTTAATTAATCGCCAATATTTCTTTGTCAAAGAATTGAGAATTTGTTTTGAACAAACACTGGAATTTATTTGCATATTTAATATGAAAAAATAAAAACAACAAAATAGCAAAAAAAAAAAAATTGTTTTAATTAAGAAAGAACAAAAAAGAAAAAAAACTGAATTATGCTTCTTCTGAAAAAATTCTGCGGACGCTCGTGTGTCTGAGTCTAGAATATTTCAGTGTGGCTGATAAGTATACTACAAATGAGAGTTTATTTGTCTTTTTTTCGTGTTACCTTAGAATGCAATTGCACTGGAGGCACCGGAAACATTGCTTATGGAAGATTTTGTTATTTGTCTCGACCTTTTCCAACGGGTAGACCTTCTTCTGGCAGCTCTCGCACACGTCCGTGCAGTTCGTCTGGATCTCCTACACGAGCGTTACGTCAAAAGAGTGGACGGTATAATTAAAAGTTATCCTTATGTGAAATACTCCGCGATAGTCAGATAAAGGGGAAATACATATTTGACAAATATATGATGAAGAAATGTATGAAGGGGTGTTTCTAGAGGGATATGCGGACGTTACGTGAAAAAGAAGAAGTAGAAGAAGAAGAAAAGCCGCGTTGCTTCTCGAATTGAGAAATCTCTCCCTGCTCCTTCTCTCCTCCTCCCGCTCCCACGAAAGAGATTTAGCATCTTCTTTATTTTCCACTTATATGTATTATCGTAATAAATGTTACACGTGAAACAGAACAAAGATATCGTTATACATCGATAAGAAATGATACGTTAACAGACGCAATAAAGTCGTATTAACTTAGTATTATCGCTAACTATGCTACAAATTAGAAGGCCGTTAACGAGAATTAGAACTTGCTAAGAATCGTCACGCGAAATTGTCTCTAACAATAGCTCGATTAATGGAGCGAATCTTTCGCAAATCAAAACCCAGCTTAGCGCTTTTCGCTACAAATCGCTTGACTCCCGCTTTCGTGACTCGAAAGTTATTATTATTGCACAAACAAAAGAAGGAAGACGGAAAATATACGTTGTCGAGAGAACATAGATACATCTTCGAGACAATGTTCTCTCTTCTTTCTACAGCAATTAGATTACATATCTACGAAAATTCGTATAGTTAAAAAGAATCCTTTTCGTTCTCGACTCGACTCGAACTCGAAGAGCGATCGCATTTTACCCTGATATTTTACGAAGTCAAAATCGTGCTTCTCTTTCCTGGAAATATAAAGTGTATACATATATATTGATACACAGGCATTTCGTGTCTCTATATGTCGACGACGTTCTCGTACTTAAATTAGCGCAAAAAATATGTCGAATTTACAGCGAACTTATTGCTTTTTCGTACGATCTTACGATAGTATCAAAAACAATATGACAGAGAAAGAATAACAGTGACAGATATGCAAACGATAGAAAACAAGTGATAAAACTCCACTGATAAAAATGCGTCTCACTCTTAAAAAAATATATATAATACAATGTAATCTAGATATAAATACAACTAATAGAGAAAGATTGACATTCGCGTTTTGCAAGAAAATAAATACATAATCACAACTTTTTTTATTGCAACAAGTGTAAGAATGCAAATGCGCAAAGTGTATTTCGCGAATATTCCAATCGCTCGGATCAAACTGCGAGAAGAATATATTTTCGTTTTCGTTTGTTTAGCAATCTCCGAAGATAGATCGTTTTGACGGACAGACGGGTATAAAAATCTACTCACTATCGCGCTAAGCTGTAAAAAGATTAGAAATTTGTAAAAGCGATCTCGAAATAGCTACGTTCCTCTAATCAGTTTCTATAGAAAACCTAAAATAGCCGCCCCCGATATGCTTCCTCTGTATATAAATGATAATTCCTCATTCAGGCCCTCATCTCACAATTTGGAAAAGCCACTCGTCATCTCACGCATTTCTTCCTCTTGCGCGCTTTTTTAGACTTTCGCTCTCTCTTTTCGTTCATTTGTCGACGAAAAAACTTGGCACTTATAAAAATCAAAAATTTAGAGCGGTACTTAGTTGTGTGAAGACCGTAACGATGCGAGAAGAAAGTTTTAAATTTGAAATATAAACGAATTAAAAAAATAATAATTAATCGATGTAAAACAAAAATGTAGACTTTAAAATTTTCATCAATTTTATATGATTTTTGTTTACTCACTGTATATTTTTTATAATCAATGATCAATTGATTTATAATATATTCGATTTCGATAAAAATGATTGTGACTTGCAAACTCGCTCGAGTATAGTCGATAAAATTTGGCACTCTGTAAAGTCATTAAAATCGTTCATAATGACTTCTGTCATAATTAAACATTCTAATATAGAAATGATTAATAACATACGTCCGTTTAATTACATTCAAAAATTTGTTTTAAGAGAGTCATGTCGAGTAATGGAAGATTGAATGCGCATCGTTACGAATTTCACTCTTGAAAAGCAAATCCATCTCATGCATTTTACAGAGATCTTGTCATCAACGCATGTAGACACCTTAAAGAAAGAATCTTTGCAAAAAAACAAAGTTAAAAGTCGCGTCACTATATTATATGCGACACAGATGGACGCTTTCTCTTTTTTTCTCTAATTTCATTTCTTTCTCATCATTCGTTTATATATGAAGTAAATTAATAGACAATAAGATTTCTCTCTTTCTTTTTTTCTGTTTTATATATCAGGATAAGTCGAGCGTCTCTTTACATATAAGGAATCGTCGTTTGTTGTCAAATTTTTTTATTCCTTGTACATACAAGTTTTTATTAAAAAAAAAAAAGTAATAATAATAATGAGATCGTTAATTGAGGTATTTCGTGCAACTTTATGTGAAAAACTTTTTATGTGCAAATCAATATATATTATATTTCTCACATGGCTTTTATATTTCTTATGTGACTCAGCACATTATCATCTCGAGTGCTTTACAGCCATCTGCTAATTTTTTCTCTCTGTTGACGTAATTTTCCATCTCTGATTGGACGAAACGCTCGACAGATCCGACAGTCGTGCAGATTCTCGTAGTACAATAATATATATTAACACGCAACATATGGTACAGTCTATTGGCTAGAGAGATTCACTATATGGACATAACGCTCAGTGTATATGTGTGTTAAAACCATCCCTAAAAAAACGAAAAGATCCTTACAATAATTGAGGATAACCGAACATTATTGCCGTTGCACGAGATTAAAGAAAAAAAACTGCTTTTCCAAGACGGTTGTCCCAACGACGCATTCCTTCCTTCATCGATTCTTCTCTTCCTCTCTTTCCTTCTTCCATTTAATCCAGGGGTATTTTTCCTCCGTCTCTCTTTCTCCCTTTTACTGCTCCGCGTCACAAAAAGAAGATCACTTGATACTGTTTGCAATTATTTTCTCTCTACGATATCACATACGACACAAGCGGGCAAAAAATCTCGGCCAAAATATCGCATAGGCAGATTAAAAAAAAGAATATAAAGACGATAACGACAAATCAAAAAATAATCACACCGATCATGCTTGATAATAATCAGCAAGGGAGTAAAGGTGGTTAAACCGTCGATGTTCACGCTCGAAATTTTTAAACACATGTATGTACTCACTAAGTTTCACGCCACCGTGTAAATTGATATTTTTGTGAATCTAACGGGCTATTTTTCATTTTTTTTGTAACGTGGAATTACAATATTGTACCGCCATGCAAACAATAATTTTATATTTTACCGATGAGTGAATTTAAATGCATTTACTTTTCAGATTGCATCAATATTTCATTTGTATAGAAATGTATTTTGACCAAAGAGAGAGATGGTTTAAAAATTTTAAAATAATTTTAAAAACATAAGCAATCAGATAACATATTCACTCAAATAACATATTTAAGATTTATCGTTAATTAAAATGCTATTACTCTAAAATAATAGCACACATTCGTAGTTTTTTCTTAAATTAAAAAAAGACTCTATTATAGCTTAATACGTTCTTATTACGAATATTTGAAACTATAAACAATTAAGTAGCTTAAACGTATTTTGAGTAATATTAAAAAATATAACATTCTCGTCAATATTACAATTTATACAATATATCTTAACTTTAATTGCAATATTATATCGTAGAAAAAAAAATAAAAAAATAAATTTTCCATGCGATGGAAAGTTATAATTACATGTCTTGTAAAAAATTCTGATAATATATTTACATTCATAGAATTCATTGATTGTACGAAACGGATAAGCAGATTAAATGATCATAAGCAACAATTAATCTTTATCGTAAAATATATATATATATATATATATATACGTCGCCAAAGTAAAGAGTGCAAAAATAAAAATCCTTGCTTTATATATATACAAGACATATAATAAATAAAATAAAATATAAATCAGTCGTGCTTTCAAGCAGTGTTCTTATTGCGTTTGAAACGCTGATTTGCGAGTTCCAATAAAATGCGCTTATTAAAAGCGCGTATCAAAAATACTCTACATATTTTTTGTTCTGAAATTCTGACGCAATATAAACACTGCTCACAATGTAAATTTAAAAGAATACATTTATAATTCCAACATATAAGTTGATAAGCAGGCAGAATGACGACAATTCAAAAAATTCACACCATGCGCATACTTCATGATACCGAGTTGTTCAAAAACGAAAGAGGAATGTTCACTGGGAGAGATATATTTGGTCTTTCAAATTTCTGAACAAACACACACACACACACAATTAGGCGCATATAAGTCAGCCAGAGAAATATCTTACATTAAAAAAGAAAGGATAAAAATGAGTGCTTTTCAAGTTTAATCAATATAGTAGAGAATCAAGACACAAATGACAGATGGATGGACGTGAAATGATGGATGCAGGGTAGATGGCTCAGACTATGAACGACGAATCGCGAATATTGTCTCGAGTATGATATTTGTCGAGGATGTGGGTGAAACGTGTGCGATTATATTTGACGAAGTGCTTCCACAAGTACTTACCACAAATCGATTAACTTTGACCTTCGGTGCGCGCGGAGAATCGTTGCTCTGCGAGCCGAGAGACTCGAAACGAGCTCTCAAACTGCTCGCGGACTCTATGCTGGATTGTTCGCCCGTACCCTGAGCCATTTCCATTTCGGCGATATGGTGATTGTTGACCTTGCCATCGGTCTCCTCCCAGTGCTCGAACTTGGCGCGAAGGGTCTTGGCGCGCGCCGCATTTTGCGCTTGTTTCAAGAATTCGTCCTCAACCTAGACGAGAATTTCGGAAATTATGGGATAATGTAATCATATAATCAGGAGTAAAAGACAGCCTTCCCAAAACGATTAAACCTGAAATCTAGATTTGCTCCGAAAATTTGCACCAATTTCTTGTCGGTGAACAAAATAATCCAGCTCCTTCCATTTTTAGAATATCAGATTTGAATTTATTTAGAATGTCAAAAACTTATATGATGTATAAAAAGGAATTTTGAGAAAAGAGCAGAGAAGATTATAAATTAATATATTTAATAAAATTATATTTAAAGATTATAAATTAATATATTAATATTATAATACGTTTGAATGAATTGAATGAAAAATCCAATATAAATATTGTCAGATCTGAATTTATTTAGTAAAATTAGAATGTCGAAAACTTATATTGTGTAATTTTGAGAAAAGAGCAGAAAAGATATAAATTTTATTTAATAAAAATAGAATGTATAAAAATATATTAATATTATAATAAAGAAAATTGAATGAAAAAAGCATAAAAGATTTTAGAATGTCAGATGAATATTTAGTAAAATTAAAATGTCGAAAATTATAATGTGTAAATATTAATTTTGAGAAAAGACGTTTTAATATATTTAATAAAATTATATTTAAAGATTATAAATATATTAATATTATAATACGTTTGAATGAATTGAATGAAAAATATAAATATCCACTTTTAGAATGTCAGATCTGAATTTATTTAGTAAAATTAGAATGTCGAAAACTTATATGATGTGTAAAAAGAAATTTTGAGAAAAGAAGAAAATTAATATATTTAATAAAATTATATTTAAAGATTATAAATTAATATATTAATATATAATACGCTTGAATGAATTGAATGAAAAATCCAGTATAAATACCCACTTTTAGAATGTCACATCTGAATTTATTTAGTAAAATTAGAATGTCGAAAACTTATATGATGTGTAAAAAGAAATTTTGAGAAAAAAGCAGAAATTAATATATTATAAATTAATATATTAATATTATAATACGTTTGAATAAATTGAATGAAAAATCCAGTATAAATATCGCATGCATGCATACCTTGTCAGAAGCACGGACGTAGTTGGGATCCTTCTCCTCGGCGCTCTCTTCACCTTCAGACTCTTCGTTTTCTTCTTCCTCATCCTCCTCAGAATCCGACGCCGTCGCCTTGGCGAATTTGTCCTCAGGGGCGGTGTGAAGCGCTTCAAAGGTTTCGGACCATCCGGCAATTCCTCCTTGCTTGCGTTTTCTTCCATCTGTCGGAAGATGGACAGCATCTTCCTCGCCGTATCTGTGTGCACCACCTCATCCACCCTGTCGTTGGCCCTGACGACGTCGGGATCGCGGTATATCTCGCGATCCGGTGAATCCATCTGTTTCAATAGTTCAAACGATGTTATAATAATGATGACATCAAATTGTTGAACAGCTCGAATCACATTACTTGATTATTTTATCTTCTTATCGAAGACAGTCTCAATCCCTCTCGTTTTCAAGAACTTGACTTTATTAGATTTATTAGATTTAACCAGACTCTCTTACAGTCATTTTTATTATTCCTTTTTCTTCTATCAAAGTTCTTTTTTTTTTTTAGATTTTTATAAAACAAATCATGTGATTCGATGTTTCTCTATTATTATTGCTCTCGTTCAATGCTTCTATTGCGAATTGTTTAGCAGATATTAAACACATCAATCAAGCGTTATAAAAACATTTAAACAAGATGGGGTACAATTAAAATTGTTAAAAATAACAACGTCCATTTTTAATCTTGTAAAACCTCGTCACAGATAAAAAGTATTTAAAATTTAAAGAAGAGAACTCATGACTGTGTATTGTATTATTATTCCAATGTAAGATAATGATATATGGATGTTTTCTTATGTTTTAGATTAAAGTCTTTCATTTTCGCAGGTGTCTATTTCTTGATAAAAGCATAGATTTTTAATTAATAAATGCCTCGCCAAATTTTCATAAAACATTTTTTTATAAAAGAGAATATTTCCTCTTGACGTCTGCAAAAGGTAAATAAATGCAGGAAATAATAGCGTTACAATTATATAAAATCTATAAGCACGGTGTATTTAATGAAATACAATTAACTCCAAGATTTATATTTAATTAAAATAAGAAAGTAATAATAATTATATTATAAAAATAATTGATATCTTTTTACTCAGAAAAAGATGTCAATTAGCTGAACTTATACATATATTTGAATATATTTTAATCTGTATTAATCTTGTTCATTAAGTTTGTGCATGCAATTCTTGCATACTAATTACACATTATTATTTTCACTCAAAAACTAGTTTCAGTTTTTCTAGAAATTTATCAAATAATTATTATTAAAATTATTGTAGGTTGTGGGATATATTTATTAATTTACATGCAAAAATAATTTTTTAGTAGAAAAATTATATGATAAAGTGACAAGAACAGATAATTGCGAGGAACATATTTCGTATATTTTTTTATCGCACGATAATTTTGAATGGAATATTTAGACTTGTGATGCAGACACACACACACACACACACACACACATATTGTACACATATACGCACGCACACAAATATATACTTCGTTGGAAAGGATCTCAGGTAAGCTGAAAATCGACGACCAAAATGTTCTTTTTTACGTGCTGTATCCGACGTGAGTCAGCTCTAAAGGTTTTAAGCGTGGGTGGTACGACTATAAATCTCATGTAGAAACTACTACAAATCTTATTTGATCCAAAATTATTTTATAAAAAGACAAATGTATAAATATAAGAATAGTTATAAACATAAATAAACCATAGTTGTCTATATGATAAAGTTGGAAAAATAATATAAAAAAACGACAAATTATATAATTGTTTAAATAATATCTTCGAAAAACTAAAAAGCATAATTTATGTATATATATATATATGTTGATACAATGTTTAAAATAATATTACCCATCGCGCACAAACAAAAGTTTTGAGAAACGGCAATGAATGTTTCTAAAAAAAAATATCTGATTGCATAAGAAAAAGAATCGTATAAGATACATAAATAACTAAAAATTCACATTCTTTGAAACCTCACAACCAGAATACCGTAATATCAATAAGAGCTCCTATTATACAAAATAGGGTCCCTTTTTTACGAAAGTTCTCTCCGACAAACCTGGACTCATTTGTACCTGAACCCAGCAGGTCAGGTAGAAGCTGAAAATCCGATTCTACATTATGCGATCGAAGAGTGTGACAATTTGAAAGGGACCACTCTTGTTTCTCAGTTCAGGTCTGTTCAGGATTATCGACCGGAATCGTCGGCTTAATCGGGCAAAAGAGTTGCGGGCCGCTTCAAGGTTGACGACGACGAATTGACAGGTTCAACAGCAGTACCCGCACTATGCGGAGCGGTCAATTGTCGTGTCACTTATTGCGACAATCCGACTAATTTACTCTTCTCGCTTTCGTTTACGTCGACGAATTTGCTCTTCAGCAAAAAAATATCGAAGTGCGTGAGTGCAGCCGTTTCTCTTGAGAGAGAAGCGACACTCTTGAGGGAGCAGCGAGAGAGAACTTGTTAAAATAAATATGTTACAGTTGGGAGGAAATAATTAAAGTAATTAGAGTTGAAATAGATAGATCACGTAATATGAGTGATTCATCTCATATGATTATGGTGAAAAAAAAAAAAATAAGAAAACTGAGACTGCATGCTTCGATTATCGTCGTATTATCAATTAATCTATCTTAAACATTGCGAAAAAAATACAACTGTGGAAACTCTAAATTATCTTATCAACGGTCGCGTTAAATTCGAGTTAACTCCAGAGAGGACTTTTAGAGTCGAAAGCGAGAGGAAATGGGAAATCAATAATTGTCGCACGGTGTTTTTATTGAATTAGGCGAGAGACCTATGGTGTTTATCGTATTTAGTCTGGAATTAAGGAAATTCCCGTCACATAAAGTTAGAAACACACATGAACGAATTATTTCACCGTGTCTTAATTCAAAATTATAAATACTTGCAAACACGAATTATAATTATTATATAGTAATTATTATTAATAAGAAGAGAGAATATAAGAAAGCAAAAATATATAATATAAGCAATGAAATCGCAAATAAGGAGTAGGTGTATTCTCGAAAAAAAAAAAAAAAAAAAAAAAAAAAATTTATCTGTTTCCTACGCGCTTTTAAAGAATCTAATTTGGTTAATTAACACAGAAGTCTGTGCTTTTTAATTAGGGTGGGGCGAAGGCAGCGTTTTGATACACTGATTCTTGGCCGGATTTCATATTAAGATTTTATATTGGAATAATGGAGCGGCGGAGAGAGAGAGAGAGAAGCTACGGGAGCGTACTTCCAGCGGAATTCCATAAAATCACCAGTCCAGAAAGGATATTTGATCACACGGTATCCTTCAAGCGGCAAATCAAGCCGCGACGAGAGAGAAAGAGAGAGATTCCGCCCCGCAAAAGCGACGTCCGTTTCTTCGAAGATTACCATCAACGGAAACGCACTTACGGTCGCGCGACGCGAGGCCAGAAAAAGATCTCGATTGTACGTTGAAAAGTAATTAAAAACAATCAACAATTCGATGGGAACACACGGTTGCGCGGTTACACGCGTATTAATGATTCTCTCTAAATATGGTAATTGAAACTTTCATATCGGAGTTTCTCGCGCAATTTTCACCTCTTCTGCAAACGCAAGATGTATCCACTCGCGATATAGAACGATCTACTTCCAAAATTTTGTTGAAAAGATCCGGAGTACTGGAATCCAATTTATATTTTATCTACAGAGCTCGAATGCACAGGGCAGTTAATTAAATAGATTCAGTCTAAATTTGTTTTATTTAAAAAAAATTGAATACTTTTCAATTTAATTATCAGAGAATATCCAGCACAGCAAACACACAGAAGCACCAAAATAATCATCAATTAATGAAATAACTCTGGAATATGAAATCACGATCACATAAGCCGGAGAATAAACCCGAGTCGATCGCGCTCGCTATTAATCGGAGCAAATTTGATTACTTGTCAAACTGTCAACTAGAAACTTCAACCGCGTCACTTTTTCGAAGCGAGAAGAATCGCGGATCCGCGAGCGGAGAGAAATCTCCGAAGAGAGCGCATACCTTGCGTATACCTGCGGCGAGCAGGTATACTTTCGACAATCCGAGCAATTACGAAATGCCGACTTGGCCGCGTTCGCTACGTGGGGGAAAAATCGCGATAATTACCTTTCCACAATATTTAATGACGCTTCCTCGACGAGCGGATGAAGACTAAAGCGTCGTCGCTCAAACCGTCTGCCACCTTGGACGCGCTCTCGAGGGAGACTCTCTTTCTCCGGCTCGTGAGAAGACCGTCGCGACAGCCGGTCGCCGGTTGCTATGCCGTTCACATGAGGAGGAACACGGCGGTGTGTACTTCTCCCCTACGGGTGTGTGAGTTACTGCGATGATGGGGGCTTCGTATCTCGCGCGCCCTCCTTCTGTCGGGTCTCTGGACCCGCCGCGAGTTCCCGGTCTGTTCGTTGCCCGTTTGCTCTTCACGAAGAGAAGGATGTAGGAATACTAACGGTAAAAGTATGGTTGTTGCTGCTGCTGCTGCTGCTGTTGCAGCGCTGACCACTTCTGGGGGGTTCAAGGACAGCCCGCCGGTTGGTGTTGGAGCGTCGACTTTGCACTTGTGTGAGTCGCGACGCATCGCCGGACCCTTCATACAGGGGGCCTTTTATTATGAGCGAGTATACAGAGCTCTCGTTATCGCGTTTCGATAATTATTATCGATAGACACGCATTCCACCAGCGTAGGTATATTGAGGAAAAACGAGAGCTGGGGGTTTCTGGGAGTTGCTGATTTTTGATGTGTACGAGATAAACGAGATGTTTCGGGTTGCATTCTTTGAGAGATAGTAATTATCGGAATTGAAATATTTACTAAATCAAATATTTCTTCCTCGAAATATTATGTTATTTCTAAAAGAAAGACGAAGAATTTACATAACACAATATTTTTGCAGAAGACTCTTATTCTGAATTGTATTAAATTATTATCGATAGACACACATTCTATCAGTGATAGGTATATTGAGGAGAGAAAGAGACTTGAGTGTACGAGATAAACGAGATGTTTCGGGTTGCATTCTTTTGAGAGATAGTAATTATCGGAATTGAAATATTTACTAAATTATTTCTTCCTCGAAATATTATGTTATTTCTAGAATTTACATAACACAATATTTTTGCAGAAGACTCATCATTCTATCAGTGATAGGTATATTGAGGAGAGAAAGAGAGCTGGGGGTTTTTGGGAGTTGTTGATTTTTCGGGTGTACGAGATAAACGAGATGTTTCAGGCTGCATTCTTTTGAGAGATAGTAATTATCGGAATTGAAATATTTACTAAATCAAATATTTCTTCCTCGAAATATTATGTTATTTCTAAAAAAAAGACACAGAATTTTACATAACACAATATTTTTGCAGAAGACTCTTATTTTGAATTGTATTAAAAAAATATAGAGAAATTTTATTTAGAAGGAGTTCATCATAGCTATTGTTTCTTATATGATTGGGACTAATTTCCTATTTTTTAGAAAGACCCTTTTTTAAATTATACGTATACAGACTGTTTTCAATCTTTGTCTAATAATAATAAGCTCTTTGACGAATTTGGAATCAATATCTCATTGCGAAATAATTTTGGGCAATTTTGTTAAGTAACATGAGTTATTTAATGCAAGGAGTGTCAGGGAAAATAACAAAACCACGTTAATATTAAACTAACAATAAAAATAAAATATTAAAACATATTTGCAGATGATTAAAAAAAAAGTTTGATGCAATATTTTATGATGTGCGCGATTTAGTCTCGTATCGCTAATATCGATATAAATTTCAACATATCTTTACATATATAGCCGCTTTATCGATAATCGAAGATTTTATCAGTGAATAATAACGTCATTGCATGAGCAATAACGTGCTGTATGTGAAATACGATATAAAAATAAATTAATACGAAAGCTAATATAGTATCAGAAGAAAGGAAAAATACTGAAAGCATTATCCCTAACGTAATAATTTTATACAATTTTTTTTCTACATCAGTTACTTGATTAAGTGAATATTTTATTAGTTTCTATATATTTTTCTTCTAATTCGATAGAAAGTCTTTTTTAATAGCGAAAGTCGTATTCTATCGAGTATGTAATGCGATACATTATACGATTACTTAATTAGTTAACACGTACACGTATTTGTTAGATGAAATCACACAAAAGCGTGAGTCAATCAACGACAACAAAGTCAAAGGATCGAACCTTGACTTGACCGTCGCGAGGAGGCGTGATGCGAAACTGCTTTCGCTGTTTCTCCGGTTCCCTGTAGGTCTCGAAGAATTTAAACTTGTTCGAAATTTCCGACGTTTCTACGTGAACCTCCTCGGTCGCATCCGAACTGCGTACCACATCGTCTGAGACTTGACGACCCATGAACGCCTTTTTTCGCAGATATTTCGAAAATTAACATTACTATACGCGATGACACTTGCCTATTTCGCGCAAATGTTCTTATGTTTGATATCTCTTGTTCAAAAGCGAGATATGTACGTTTGTCTCGAGTAAAGTATTTTTCTTGATGCAACTTTGCTTTGAATATTAAATTGAGCGACGTAATATCGGATAATATAAATAAATAATATAATATGTAATAATAGCTAATAATAAAGAGAATTTTTAGAGTCGCTTACTTGGAGAAATTTAAGTATCTAAAAATATTTTTTAAACAAATATATACTTAAAGAAAATGTCTTAATCTTTTAATGACTGAAAAATTAATATTTCTAAAATAAAAATAAATTATATAAATTTTATTATTCAAATATGTAGAACTTGTTCAAACTACTCGTAATTTTAGCAGACAATCAATGTCTGAAAGATTTGAAAGACGAATCGTAGAAACGACTTAAATCGAATAATAAATAAATAAAAAATTGAACTTACGTCTCGTGCACGTCGTGGATTTTCGGTTGGTGTCTTCGGATGCACTGGCGTTACCGGACGTCCTATTTTCGCTGCAGAGGCATCCAGTTCCAAAAAGAGCGATCGCGATTTCCTGCTGATACCTGTGACCAACATAGATTACTATAAATCAATCATATGCTTATAAACAGTTAATTAGCGTCGTCGATACTTTCCCTCTGTGCATTTTGACAACTTGTAATTACTTGTCTCTATCTTCGGAACAGAAAAATAAATCTCACAGAAACCGATGAATATTAATATGACCTCTTAACACAGTCTTCTATTCTATATGTAGAGAGTTTTTGCACCGAATCTTTCCCATATATTATATTATAAGCAATATTAGTTACTTTCTTTCAAGCTTTACTCCTAATTCTTGACAACAGCGTACATCTGATTAAAATGTATGTCATTAAAATACAAATATTAATATTTTCTATTCCAGACATCACCTCGTTACATTTATTCATTCGTAATTACCGATAATTTAATTAATTTTAAAACGAATACAAACAACGCTAATATTTCTTTTTATATTTTTTTACAGCAAATAGATTTTTATTATACGTATTTTCAATTATCCCATAAATCTTGTACACTTTTTATGTTCATTATATAGTTAGACAGTATTTTCAATTAAATATTTCTTCGAGCTCTTTTGTGATATACATATTAATATCTCCGTTTGTATTATATTATATATAATAGCTTTCAATTCGCAAGTCATTTAATTAGTGAAAATATGAATTCGTACCTGCTGCGATTACTTCTTCGTCAGCTTTCTCCGGTTTTGGTTTATTACTATCGATTTCGTCGTCCGAAGCTGCGATTGGCTCGCCTCGTTCAAATCTCTCTTTGATAGAACGAGCGTGGGCAGTCGAGTGCTGGATCTCCTCCGCCGCATTTATCTTCGTGACGCGATCATTTCCGGCTACTGCCTGCTGATACATTTCCTTCATCTTACCCTGTTTTCCCTGTAAAGAGCAGAGGAAGAGAGACAATATATTATAATAGCGAAATTATATTGCAATATTAAAACAAATAAATAATGTACTTTAAATCCCTTATAAAATAGCAAGTTTCTCCTTTTCCTTCAAAGTAATTATAACTTATTAATTTTTTCCAATTGTTTTTATAGGGATAATTAATTACCATGAACAATCGCGAGCGGATTCCTGCGATTTCTTCCTTCCTAGCTTCGCGCTGAATCTCGCGCCTTCCCTGCTGACTGGTGGATTCCCAACGATTCTTCATGTCATCCATCTTCGAGAAACTGATCGGTCGTTCGCGCGTGGTACGTTTCGCCTTCACAATCTCGGTTTCCACTTCTGAAAAATCATGAATAACAAATTAATACAATTGCAATGAAATGCGACGGGGCATGTGCGAGAAAAACAAATTGATCGGAGAAGAAGTAAAAGATTTGACATTTAAATCGAGAGAAATTGACGTTCCTGCCAAATCCAATGGATTTGTTAATGCCAAGTAAAAGTGCCCTGTTATTTATCTCACCTTCGGTCTCTTCCGTCTCGACGTCGTCTTCGCTTTCGCTCGACTCCTCGTAGGGTATCCCATTGAGAGATTCGTCCGCCACGCCGATATCCATGCCTTTCGCCTGGAATCTGCATGAGAAGACATGCAAAGCGGTTACGGATATTCCGATTACGCTTGTAGTATGTTCTGTCGCTGTGTGTTTTCTCGAGTCTCAAGTTACGAAAAGAAAACCGCTGACTGCTGAATACCGCGAAAATACCGGTTGTGTCGTACGCCAAGTAGATTAATGAGATTTTCAACGGTGAGATTTATATTCGATTATATATAGGTGCGTCACAATTATCATAATGAAAATCTTAGAATCTCTCGCAATGCGTTTCTACTTTCATTACTGATTTGCTAATGAAAAATTCTTTTTTGCGATCATCATATCCAATTAAGAGTGTAATAATATCATTATAATATTTTTAATTTAATTTTTTAGCAAAAATAAATTTTAATTATATTTATCAATTCTTTGGCAGCGTTCTTGGATATTATTTTAATCCTTTACATAAAAACAAATATGATAGAAATTACAGACTCATCATTACACATTCTACGGAAATGAATATCATGTTAAGATATCGTAGTTTTAAATAGTGTCGTATATGAAAGAGAGATATGATTTCCATTATCAGTTAATATACTCAGATATAATGAGAAATTCTACTCTGCGTATATATTATAAACAGATGGATTTTTAATCAGCGGTTTTGCACCACAAAAAATGTATTATTGATTGCTTACTTGGCCAGTTTACTGAGGATGCTGGGTGATCTCTTGACGGCGATCTGCGACGGCGATCTCTCAATTTCATTGGCGTTCTCTGTGCTAGCTTTCTCGAAGACTTGGAAGCGCGATTTGACGTTTAAGCTTGAGAGCTCCTCGAGTCCTAGGTCGGGTTTGTCGGAAGCTGAAAAATTCAGAGAAGAGATCTCTCTTTATATTTCACTCCCAGTGCTTCCGCTTCTGTTTAAACATTTAGACACTCTCTCTTCTCGATGGTGAATTTGTTAGATCGCCACTCGAGAACAGCAATTTGCGAAAAAGAAAACAAAATTGCACACGCGATGAAAAGTTTTAAAAAGTGTCCGAGATGAAAGAAAATCTTGTTAAAAGTGCTGGTGTTAAAGAGAAAGAGGCGATTTGATATCATTACATTATGTAGATCACGTTACGACAAATTTTTTATTTTCTCGAGGATTTTCTCGCCACTTACTTGCTGAGATTCCACTCGTTTCTTGCGAACTATTAGTAATATCGTACATAATATAATTTTGATGAAAAAATGACTGTATTAATTTTTGTTATTTCACTTCCTGATGATACCTGGGCTACGATACATATTTAGTAATAAATATTTTAAAGAATCTTGTCAACTATGTAAAATAAAGGTAATATAGACAATAAAAAATCTGCACCAGATAATTTTGCACGCAAGTTGAAAGCGTTAATAGCGTTATTAACCGAATAATATTGATCACTTCACTATTTCATGCAAAAAACGAGATAATTAATTTCACTGTTGAGAGTAGAAAATTAGTTTTTTCCTAATTATGTAAAATATACTGGGAAATGTCGCCCCTCGTTTTCGGAACGAATTTGCATCCCCCGTTGTATATTAATCGACACGCTGATGCGAGAGATTCGATTTCAGATGCACAGATAAGTCTTCCATTCGACAGGGCCGAATCAATGGTTAGATAAGCCACTCGCCAAAAGGGACAACGTTAGGAGCAATCTCCAGATTGACGTTCCACACACACATACATACACGCAAGTCGAATATTGTTACCTCTGACCACATCGGGCGGCAACTCTTTCGGCTCGTTCTCCCGTATGATCAGCTCCGGCTTTCGAGGTCGCACTGCGGAGTTCACAAGACAAACTCTTTGTCGCATTAACGATACCACTCATTCTCTCTCGGTGCGCGCGTGCACGCATGTAATTATACAGGTCGGGCTAGAGGGAGAAGAGAAAAGAGGACTCTGCGATGTTAGCCTCTCCGCTAACAGCGTATAACAAAGTATGGATCCGCGACGACTCGGTGTTCTCGGTATGTTTCCCTCCTCCCTTTTCAAGTTATGCCAGCAATTAAGACAGCATTATGCTACATCTAGATTCCCTTATATACACCACTCTGTCTTTGTTAGACGTCTTCGTACAACTTCCTTTCTGTTATCTCTGCATCAAGAATGCAGCCTTGTTTCCGATTGTCTTTATGTTCTACATACTCATTTTTTTTTCTTTTTAACGCGTACCTTGTTATCGGGAAAGAAGAAACGCGGCATAAGTTGGTACACAAAATTACAAAAACCTGGCTGGGATTAATCGAGCGCCCCGGCTCAATCATTAGAGCGAGAAGAAATTTACGAGCACTGCGAGAACCAACTTTGGATCTCTTCCAATTTTACGTTCCCTTAATACATTTACGCGCGCAAAGTTCTCCCGAAGTCCTGCGACGACGAGATCGACATTGATCGTTAAGTATTCCGCGTTAAGATTGAACGTGTAATATTCCGCGAGAGAGCGATCCGTTTAAGCGGATTAGCGGCTTAACGGCTTAAGAAAAGGAAAGAAATAGCTTATCCGCGCTACATATCTGGCCGAGAGACACAGCAATCATCTTACCGGGTTGTTCGGACTCCTCGACCGGTTTCGGTTGGAAGAGCTCCTTGAAGTGGGGCTTACAGTAGAGCGTGCTCTCGTGGCTCTCGTAATTGTCCACGTTGAGCTGTTTGCCGCACTGCACGCACCGGAAGCAATTCTTGTGCCAGACCAGACCCTCGGCCTTTGTCTGCTCCATTTGAAACACGACCTTGCCGCAGCTGCGACAATTCGTATTCGCCTCGCCACCCGGACCCACCTGCAACGCGTTCAAAATTCATTAGCTCTTTTTCGCGGCTTTCGCTCTCTTCAGCCGCCTCTTTAGAAGAACCGAGCGGCAGGTGATTTTCTCTAGCACCGTCGCTCTCGAAGGTGTGTGCCGAGAGTTTAACAAATTGCGTCCGGAAGGTGATAAGTTCGATGTAATTTGTGTATACGTATAAAGATGAAAAATTCGTAATTTTTTTCTTATTTTTGTACTACGCTTGTAGAAGTTGCTTATATAAAAATGATATGGTTTTTCGAAGTTAAATAATATGAGTAATGGGAAGAGAGACTTACGGCATTTAGTTGCTGTTGCACTTTTGCTGCATCAACCGAACGTACGTGCAAAACTGTCTTCTTGGTGAGAGCATCGAATTTGTTGAAGCTTGATTTCTGTAAAGAAAAGTTTGCCTTGTCACAAAGTAGATACTAAAAATCTGGAAGTTAGAAGAGAAAGGGAAAAGAAAGAAAATGGAGAAAAAAGTTTTGCAAATAAACATTTCGTCCTCTTCTAATATTATTATGGAGCAGGAAAATTTTATCATCCCCAACCCTTTGCTCTATTTTCAAAATAAGAATGCAAAGAAAATAGATTGGAAAGAACAAAAGCAAATTCAAAAAATCTTATTGTACGGAAATGGAAATTATACGTGCAAAATTATCAAAACTTATTCGGACCCAAGTTTAAGATGTTTTATTAAAAGAACAATTTGTACCAGAGAGAGCTAATATTGATTATACACAATTATTACAATATGTATTATAATATTTTCATAACCACCATAAACTGCAATTCAACTTGCAATTTTCGATCTCCACAAAAGAGTAATATCGATTTTCCAAGAAGATCGTACAAAGGTCTGAGAAAGCAGAAAAATCAATCGCAAGCTAAGAAAGCGAAGCATATATTTCTCTCTTGAAGAAGAGACGGCAAAAGCAATGAAAAATGAACTCTGGATCAAGTGAAATATCAGACCTCTGTACGAATCGACTTGATCGTGCTTCTCTCTCTCTCGTCAAAGTCTTTCTTACCTCGAATTTCGGCCTCTCGCATGCACGATCCTTGTCCTTACCCTCGCTCGTTAAGCTTGCCAAACTACAGTAGGAAGCCCTCTGTCCCCCGAGGTCGGTTTCAATGATTGTCAATTTAGGGTTTCGCATGCCGGGAAGAGGTAGACGTCGAGAAGAACAAAGAGAAGAAACGGAGGCCGCGGGTTAGTGAAACGGTGACGTAAAAACGAACAACAGACGGAATACGGTACTCGAGTACTTATTACGGGATGCAGCAGTTAGCGATACTCGCGCCATTATCCACGGTTATGGCGTCGCCGACGACGCGACCGGAAATTTTAAAATCATAATTTGCAGGTAGATAGGGAGAGAGAGAGAGATCCCTCACGCGGCTGAGAATAAGTATACACAATATATGCGTCGAAGGCGGAGACGACGCTTGAGTCTTCGCTAATATTTACGTCCGAGAATATTTATTTTTTTTCTAAGCATACATTCTGTGCGCTCAATAAAAAATACACACGTCCTTGAAGCGAGCGAGGGAGAAGGCGATCTTGCGCGAAAGGATATTTGCTCGCAGCAATGTGTAGACACTACGGTCTTTCTCTATACTTTGTGTCTCGAGGCTTTAATTATTCACGTACGATTTTTCTTCTCTTTTGAAAAATTAATTTTTTCTTTTCATTTTGAATTTTAATATCCACGAGGAGAGACTTTTCTCCCTCGTTATTTGCGCGTGCGAGGTGTCTTAAGATCGCCTCGAGCGAAGCTTTGCCAACTGCTGCATCGGACGGACAAAGGGAGAGGGTCGAACAAAACGAACGACAAAGGACAACATTGGAAGTAGCACGAAATTTTATCCGCGTTGAATCGCGCGCCACGAGCTCATACACACTTCATCTCGAATTGGCTTTGCTTTCGGCGCCGTCACGCCTATCAGCCGCATCAGTAGGCTTTCTTCGGCAAAGCAGATACGATCGTGAACGTTTAATGGCTTGGCATTACCGTTAACACGATATATTTCTATACGGCGCATATAGAATCATAAAATCAAATTATATCGAATAATGCCTTCCTTTAATTGGCATAGAAAGGATTTTAATCAAACGTCTCTCATCAGTAGCACGATTTGCAGATAAGACCGAAGGCTCGTTAGGATCACGTTACGATAAAAGTTAATAGATAAGACAAGAATATTGCATTTTAAATTACTATGATTTATCTAAATAATTCATTATTATGATTCTCGATATTTATTCTTTGCACACATAATTATTATTATTGATTACTCGTGGCTCTATCTTTTTATTTGCTTTATCTTTCGAGGCAACCGCGTTAATTTGTCTCGATTTGGTAATTAGAATAAAAATTCTAGCGACTATGCGACACATTTAGCAGCATTGCGGTCTCGATGCGTCAATTCTCACCGGTTGACCCGCTTTTCTCCCGCTGTCTTTTCCATATTCGGATCGGAAAACGTAAAATTTTGATAGGTGTACGCGTGGTCCCGTCGACGTTTCCGGGAGCGAAATCGTGCACCGAAAACCAGACGATATCGGAGGGTGAAAAAAAAACTCGCGATCGCCATCCGGAGCTCACATTTCCACGCAATCGGCTGAAGTAGGGCAACTGAGTAGTGGGTTATTATCAAGTCGGACCCTTCCATAAATGGAGAGACGGCATTCGCGGCGCGATGGAATGAAACTACTCCGACATGCGAGTTCTCGGAACACTGTACTTGACCGAGTACTTATTCAAGGAGAGAACTCGTATTACCGAAATTTTCTTCACAGGTCGCTTTCCGGCGAGAAATTTGCGTAAGAAATTTCTTAAAGGAATTATAAAGTTAAATCAAAGTTAAATCTTCTGAACCGTGTAATCTCGACTCATCGAGTTCGAAAAATTTTATTAATTAATCAAATGCCGTTAAGGTAATAAACTTTCAGATTTATGTCAACAGCGAGAATAAATTATTAATCGTTTGCTTGAACGCTCCTTGCATCAGAGTTGATGAAGGATTTCAAACACCGAAAAATTAATCCGCACTTTCACGGAAATGATCGCGAAACATTATAAATCGACGTCTCGAACGCAGCGTTTCTATTTTTTCAATCGTGATTTGATTATTTGCGATCGATGCGAACGCGGCAAATAATAATCGATGGCCTTCAAGTACCGGATAGGATAAGACAATTACACGCCCATCGTTTTCTACACGTAGATCGTTACTCTTGGATATAGAAATTGCCGATCGCGAGCCACGATAAAGGCTACACAGTTTCGATAGAACGATAGTTTGCTCTATTGTTGCTCGGCCGACTCCGATGTTGTCCGTGTCACTTACAAAAGATTACTTACGAGGGCCTTAACCGACACTCCGGCGAAGACGGGCGCGTCTTTGGTGAAGCTCGAGTAACCCTGCTCGCATAATCTCAGATCACCCATCGACCTCGCTTTCTACGATTGAGCGGGAGAGCGTCAACGAGAATACAAATTAGCGATGAACCGTTTCGAGAGACGCGAGTTCTGTGAAATATCGATCGCAAGTTAATGGATCGTCCTATTAGAGACGCGTGACGAAAAGTTTCTCGAAGTGCGATGAAGACACTTCACGTGCTGCGTCTAACATTTTTCATTTAATATACAAATTTTTTATTTTATAATACTCTTTGCTATCTATAGGTTTTTACTTGTACAATAAATATCGTTTGCATAAAATTAACAAGATTTTGTTGTTGAAGAAGAAAAAATATGATTTTTCCCAGAAAAAAATTACAATGCAATTATATTAACGTTTCATGTCACAGAACTCACGCTCTAAATGCGATTAGTATATCATTAAAATATTTATATTATTTGTTTAGAATTTGAATAATCGGCCACGTTATGAAGCAAATATCGAAAGTGGCTCATGCAGTAACGAAGGTTAGATAATGCATTTCTCATTCCTGTCTCGTACATATCATGACAAAGACTAATTTGCGACATCGTTAATAAGCATTCGCATGCTTGCACAAATTCTGTCTATGCGACGCGAATCAATCTCTTATTACTCTGTCACTAAGCAATTGCAAGTAAATTATATATTTACTCTACGAATAAAAAATTATTAAGCGAAGAATGAAAATTTAAATGAATGAAGACATTCTATTTCTCAAGAAAATTGTCACAAAAATTTAAAAATCTTATTGTTAAAATCTGTTTTAAAAAATAAATAAAAATACTATTCTATTCCTTTTTTTATATTAAAAAAGAATTTGTAAAAATTTTTAATTTGAATCAAAACACTTTTGTTTCTTTTACAACACTGTTTTTGCCTATAACGAGCAAGACAAAACGAACACGTATATCATTCGATGCATATTTGAATGTATTATAAATAAGATGTATATACAAACCTCCTCGGTTTCCATCGCGTGACTTGTTTTCCCAAAAGCTGCCTGATCGCCGTCGCTCATGTTCGAGATGTCGCCAAAACTGCGACACTGTTAGTGACAAAATATATCTGACAAATGTATCGGCTATTTATTAACGAAGCAATTAAATTTGCGGCGAAAGCGTACGAAATGATTCGATCTTATCGTTAGAAAGAGAAACGAGGCGCTTCCTATATATCTTATAGGAAAAAAAATACGATTTTTTTCCTCACGTGTTTCTCTGCAAATTTGAACACATACATAATAAGTCACTTACTAGTTGCTTGATGGACACGCCGGTCGCGATTCGTTCCCTGCACAGCTTCTCCTGATCGCTTCGGCTCGTCTCCGAGACATAGTTCTGTGTCTGCATGCGCAAAAAGAAGAAGAACAAAATGCAGGCGCGAGTCGATGAGGGTATGCATGCGTATTAAGTGTTTTTGCGCGCAATCTCGCGCCGTGAAACACAATTATTACGCGCGGAATATGCATTTCGCATATATAATAATTATATGTTGATACCAATCGTCACATCTCTCGGACGATTTGTTCCGTTTCACCGACACAACAGGAAACTATTACTTTCTTTTTCGTAAAAAGCGACTTTATGAAACGTGCTCGGTCACGTCGGCTCATTACTTACTCTCGTTACTCTTGCTCGCGTAAAAGCACGCGATTCCCGAAAGTGATGACATAATTTCTTCGACGCCTTTAATCAAATGTCACGCAAAAAAAAAAAAAATTACTTTCAGTCGTTCAAACGTCACAGCCGAGCTAATTATTATATTTAGAGCTATGCCTGTCATTGTTTCCGCGATCGTAATCTAGTGGATCGCGAGATGAGAACTCACATCTCAATCTCGTGCCACGCGTTGATTCGTTTGCAGGAAATTGTGAGGTCAGAAAATAGCATGAAACGCGTGAAATGCGTCATTGGAGAACAGCTGTATCATGAGAGAAACGAGAAGAAAGAGAGAACACGGACGAATTCTAAGAAATTGACTTTCCCTGTTTGCGAAAATTTGAATATACGAAAGTGCATATACGATATAGTTTGGAAACGTTCCATCTATATATAATCATTCGATAATTAATTTTTCACAGGTATAGAACGTTAATTGTTAATAAAATTGGATTAGATTCCCGTACAAATGAAGGATTGAATTAATAATATCTTGACTATTTTACTAATTATTAGTTTGCGGTTAGTTTACGGACAATATGGACTTTATATAGCGTAACTTACCAGTGACTTAACATTGACATTCGACAAATCGTCCTCGTCGGAGAAATCGATCATCTCTGAATGCGATCGTCGAGTACCCGTATGCATGCTTGCGTCTTGTAAGCTACAGTTCTGATGAAAAAAAAGAAACACAAACACACTGAGCATGCAACAGATGAGAGATTAATAAGCTGCGTCTAAGCTAATTTGCATCGAGCCATTAGTCGTGTATGAAATATCAAACGGCAAGAATAATTATTATATGCTGCATTAATTTTATTGATGATATTTTTTTAGAATTAGAATTTCATTAAGCAGAAAAATACTTAATTTCTCTTTGATTTTTAAAATTTTAATTACGAACAAAATGCATTCTTTATATTCTCGATAAAAATTTCAAGAGCAACTAATATATTGAAAGCAATGCACTTGCGATAATAAATTTATCATACTTTACTACTTAGAAATGCAAATAATGTCTGCAATTTTATCAGCACAGTATATAATTGAATTGATATTATGCAAGAGAAAGCTTACTCGCAAATAAAAGAAAATTTATACGAACAATTAAATTAACCACACAAAACATTCTCTCGGCACATTCTAAAACATAATTTATACTCACGCAAGATACATCCCACGATACTGTTAATTGGCATAATTAAGGGATAAGATTCGCATGACACGATTATTATGAATACTTGTTTAAAATCGTTACTGAATTGTTTCTATTCTGCAGTTATAAGTTTGCTTTATGAGTCAAGACATAAATATAGTAAGAGTCATATATAATGAAACATACAGAGTCACAATAAAATTTTTAAATATTTCCTCTGTAATTGATGACGAATCGTTTAGCCACTCGTAATGTATTCAAATCTCGCTGAGTCAATCGGATTTTTGTATCATATCAATATCAATTCGTTTTTCTCTTTCATGGACATGTCATGAAGGATGATTCGCGGAACGGAAGTAAAAGCTTGCTTCGCAGCAAAGCCTGCAAAGGGAAACGTCGCAATCTCGATCGATATCGTTCGCCGCTCCACTTAATCAGCGTTTCGATCGGATCGCGTATACTCATGTATCGGATCTTCGATGCCAGAAGAGGAACGCGATCAGGCTAAAATAGAAACTCGCTCCGCAATCTGTGCCGACGAAGTCCGGAAAATACGCCGGCGCGGCGTATGTATGCAGATGAGAGACGAAAAGTGCGAGCTTCCGGTTTTCACCGACGCGGCGCATCGCCGGTAAAGAGTTACCGAGCAAAGCGATAATTAACGTGATAACGGTCATTTTATACCCGCGCATTTTGCATGTCGAGTGACCGCCCTCGCTCGTGTTTCTAGAGTAATCGCTGACGCGACAACGCGAATAACTAGACGCTTATTGAATGAGAAATCGCGTTGACACATATATTATGCGCGTAGATATATGTATGTATGATAATTAACGCGACGGAACAAAATAAACTAAGAAACATTTACATTACAGAACGTGGACAGGGTCTCCTGGAATAATCACCGATTTCCTTCGCGGATGGTTTCTCCAAAAAAAAAAAAAAATATCGATCAATGATAACGCAACGTTTCAAAGAGAGATCCAGGCTTGAAATAACTCTACATGGAATTTAATTCGATGGAACCCCGATTTGACGTCCTATCAGATTTTCGTTCGAGTCGGCTATTAGAGAATCTGTACGAGTGAACGGATAGCTGCGGGACATACACACAGATACAGACACACACAGACACACACGCACGTACACAGACACCCGCGTGCGCATCTATCAAAACGATTTATCACTTACCACGGAGATGTTCTCCTTCTCGAGATCGCTCTTCTTGCTCTTCTTAGTTTTCTTTGTGCGCGGCGTAAGGTTCGGCGAGGTGGCATCGTTACCAGCGACGCCCTCGATCTTCTTCTTCTTCGTTTTCGTTCCTACCTTCGAGGAGGTCACCACGGTGGAACTGGCGGTCACCGTTTCCTCGCGGCTTTCGCTCTGCAAGACGAAAAGAAGAAGGAAAAAATAAATATAAATGTAAATATAAAATATAAATTCAATCCAGACCTTCAGAGCCTTTTTCGCGCCCTGGAATTCTTCATTGAAAAAAATCCATGTACTTTTACATGGAAATTACTTGACTATCATTGTAATTTTTTTCCGTATTTTTAAAGTAAAAATATAGGTAAAATTAGTATTTTTGTGCAAAAATCATATATATAATCTGTAATCTTGCACACGAGTAACAATATTGCATGATTATGCTGGGTCGAAAAAAAATCTAGCATAATCATGTAACTTTACACAAATAACAAAAAAGTGATCCGATTGCACACAAATATTTTTTTCGCAGTGTTCGCGAACAATTAAAATGGAAATGCTGAAATGGTAATTTCTTTCCGTCTCGGAGATACCGAATAATATATGTACGTATTTCTTTCGTGACTACATATCGTATGTGGCACACGCGAGGTCTCCCGGAAAGGAATACACAGAAACTAGATTTAGCATGCGCTATTGTGTTGCTGTTCTAGGATTCAATAGACTTTATTGCGCACATAGACGTATAAGTGAAATGCGGTCTTTGCGGTGGGACACGAAAGTTTACGTTCGCTCAACAAACGCGATTTGCAGGCAACAATATCGATTTCACGGTATTATAACGCAAGCTTTCCGTCAAACGCAGAATAGCGAGGGGAAAAATTCCTTGCTATACGAAAAATAAATCTTCCTCGCTCAACGCTTTTGAGAAGAATCTATCTCCCGTCCAGTGTACGTAAAATCTCTTGATTACTAAACAATTACAGACTAAATGTGAGGAAAATGTAAGTTAGAAAGCGTGCGAATGAAATAATAAATTAAATTGCACGGTTTTTGCCAATAACACACAGTCGTGATGCTTCCTTCAAGAAATCATTTAAGACATTTCGTTCATATATCTTTTATTTAATCTATTATATATTATTTAATATATTATTTAATCTTCACTTTTTTGACTAATACTTTTAACTAATACTTTTTTTAATATTTCATATAATAAGACAATATCTAAAAAAAAAATCACAATTTTCAACTGAATATATCTCTTCACGGATGAACCAAAAATTATTGCTCCGACACGATGTTTATCCCGATTCAAGTATATCCTATTGCAAGCTGCTTTTTCGTATACGATCAGCCGCGTACGTCATTTGCGATGTGCATACGTGAGCGTGCATAACGCGATCATCTGCACGTTAGAAAGGCGAGATTTGAGACGGAATATTTGTTTAATCATATGGTTTCACCGGCACGGGCGGAACTGCTCCGATATCGCACGCTGCAATTAAAGCGTCACCCGCCTACGCGAGTCCCGGCCTGACTTGTAATTGTTCGACTCGTAATAACTCGAGTCGTGCGCGCTTGCGATAACACACTGAGGTAATGGAATAATTATCAGAAGAGAAAGAGAGAGTTTGCGCGTTCGAGATCTCGGGAACGAAAATGGAGATCATACATTAAAATTTAAAAGATGCTAATTTTTGAATGATAGATTAAAAGGATATGCGCGTCGTTCTTTTTTTAACAAACCGGAACGACTTTGATTCCTGGCGAAACTAGTTTACAGCATCCAGATGTGTCGTACGATTGATAAGAGTGTGTGTTTATAGAGCTCGGATTTATGCGCAACAGCATAATGACCTCCCGACAAGGAAGACTTACGATAAGAGTCCCGCGCGCGCGAAAAGCAATATTCCGGAACGCATGAGTTATGCGAGCGTAGCATAAAGCCGTGACATAATGTGCACCGCTGGTAATCAACACGACGTGACGTTCGGCTATTAATTAATCTCGAGACTCGAGAAACCAACACGGCGCAACGTTCGAGTCTCGTCGTCGCGACGAGCTATTTATATCGATTTTCGTTCCAACACGTCCGCAGAAGAATCAATAAAAAAGTGAAGTATTTGTTCTCGTTTTGAATAAACACTAAAATTTTTTTGCATATTTAATATAAAAAAATAAGAAAAAAATATATAAATTGAAAAACATTTTTAAACAAAAAAATTAATTAACGTCCCCTTTTGAAAATAATCCTGCGCTCATGAACACGATGTACCAGAAAGGAAAGATGTGATCTTGATTAATTCTTCGCACTTTGTCAAATTTTTGTTCAGAGTTCTTCCGAACAATTGGAATCTCTTTCCACACTTACGTGTTCTCCGACACAAGAATACGGAAGCAGAGTTTCTCGAGAATCCGCCTCTAAGTTTTAATTATTCACTCTCATCCCGAGGAAAGACCCGAGGATCGCGATCTATTCTCTCCGCGCGGTTCACCAAGAACTTTCCTATAGAAAGAAAATCGTGTCCATCTCACATCGTCACTGGTTCACAAAATAAACGAAGCGGCGAACTTATCCTAGCAGTCTCTAGCACCGGCCACGCACTCAGAATGACGGACGCGCGTCCACCTTGGCAACGAGGTCGACGAAGGACAGAGGGAGAAAGAAGGAGTCACTGGAGCCGGATTTCAAGTGCGAGCAAGACGACCGAAACGAGAGTGGGAGTGACGTAGAATGAAAGAGAAGGAAGGAGAGGACTACAAGGGGGACCGAAGAGAAAGAAGGCAAATGTTCTTGCTCAACAACCGTATCGTCTTCCTCGCTCACGTTCGAATCCATCAGCGACCTGCGCCGGAGCACTGATGGATCAGGCCGATCGTCGTCCAGGTCGTACCTGATCGATGATCATCCTTGAAACGCTGGAGGTGATGTGAAGAGACGCACGAGGTGCCTGAGATACGTCTGAGGGTACCGAAGGAACGCGTTTCCCGAGGAGAGCGCGCGCGTCTCGTAACGGGTTCAGGAAACTCGATGCTCTCCAAAGCGTGGCACGCGCTTCCCGATTGGTCGTTTCCACCGGGCACGTGGAACCGATTGGCCAAGTGAGAGCTCTCTGGATACCGCTGCTCAAGCCAGCAGAACCAAGCTGAGGTAGAAGGAACAAGCGGCCGGCAAAAGCCGTTCTTATAAGCACGGCGTACGATCGACTTTGACCTCGATCTTGGTCGGCCCTTAACTGGTGACATCCAACTGCGACTTGCGTCCCATAGATTATGAGAATCTAATAAAAAAAGGAAGGAGGACATCCATTTGGGAATTGATGAAAACAGGGACGAGCCTCGGTGGTTTTGCTCCGAAAGAAAATTCGAAATTTCAATCAAATATACAATACAATTTTGCGATAAAAAGTTAATTTTTTTATAGCATTCCAAATATACCGCCTACTTCCTGTAGGCAGAGATTGCGTTTGAAGAGACGAGGGTAAAATAATATATTATTTATATTTTTACACATTATCTCTCCTTTTACATTTTTCCTCGCACAAGCAGTAAAAATCAGGAATTATCTCTTCGAAAAAATCTGTACTGCGCATACGGATAATGAAATTAAAAATTACAGGAAGAATACATAAAACTTACGAATGTAATTATCAGGTAGAGCAGAATATTCGGAAACGTATACGAGTTAAAAAAAAATGAACGTTCTTCTTCGAGGATTAATTTGGTCGAGGGGGAAAATGTCATTGTACGGCCACGTGATAAGTGACGTTTCGTGGGCTGATACGAAAATCCGTGGCGATAAGCCTGCTTCCGTTGTCTCGCCGCAGCGTAGATCTCGCATTTGCATGAAATTCGTGGCGTGAGCGATCGTCACGCGCCGTTGATCGCGAGAGGGTGTACCTTGTAGGGTCTATCGAGGAGATGAAGGCAGATAATACTGGTTCGGGTTTTGCGAGTAATGAGTTGTAGCGAAAGGTACACGTCGCGAGAGTCGCGCGAGCTGCAATTGTGCGGGAACGTTGAAGTAAAGTGGATAATCACGAACGCGAGAAGAGAGGAAAATTATCTATTATTAATTATTATTTAGACTCGTGCGCTCGTTCCCTCGATTAACTACGAGGACGAAAATTGAAAAATTAATCGAACGGATTAGCAGTAACGCGTTTCAGCAAAATCGCGCCGTATGCAATTTGTATAACAGGAACATAAATTTACTCAAAAACTCGACGCGCCAATCGAGTAGATGAGAGTATCATCGCATTATATGCGGGGATTTCTGAGAATCGCTTACCTGGAGGCAAACGCTGTCGAGGGAAAAAAAAAGTATAAACGAGATTAATCGTTCCAACGTGTAAAAACATGCGTAGGAGTTACATACATAGAGCGATGGCGCAATTAGTCTTGCGAAGATTGCTAGGTGGAGCGGATTCACAATGCGCTCGCGAGAATTATTCAACACAAGCAAAACCCGAACGCGCGTTTGCTTAAGTTTATGGTGAGCTTGCGTCTTTCTCTCTTTATACCGGCAAAAGCAGAAAACAACCCTATCAATTTCAAGGTACATCAATTACATATACACGCATATATGTGAAACAATTAGTTAATAAAACATTCGGAATTATTGCTCGTTGAATTAATCGGGCACAATTTTCTGACGTCATACAATTTAAGGATCAATTAATTTTCAAACAGCAACAATAATGATGTTACTCGATATTTGTCAAATGTTGAGCAAATCAGGTATTAATTACTAATAAAACGATCAGTACTCTTACCTGTGAACTGTGTGTGAACGACTGGCTCGAAAAAAGGAGTTGTGACTCGAAACGATGAATTTTCTCTCAATGCTTTGCACTCACGTGAAAGACCACATTAAATCAATATGTCATTGTCATAAAATTTGTGATAGTGACATATCGTTAATCAAGTTCTAAACGCTGAAATTAGTTGCGAGTGCAAAGATTCGATTTACGCAGATCTTATTCAGGGTGTCCAGCAGACTCGATGAAAAAAATTTCAGAATTTCCAAGACTAGAAATTAATTTTTCTCTGACTTTTTAGTATTACTTTTTCCAAATATATAATTTGCATATATCTATATAATAAATCAATTAAATGTTAAACCATGAAATCCTTGAGATATTTTGTCAACAATATGAAAAGATTCGGAAGTTAAAACAAAAATTTAAATCAATTATGCAATCTGCATTACGTACGATATTATATCAAGTTTTTTAGTTTTGTCTCTATCAAACACATTCAAATAAAATAACACGCCGATTAAAATATAAATTAACGAACACGCTGTAGATGAATCGATTTGACAGAAAATTAGCATCGAGGCAAAGTCTATATTTGTTTAATAAATTTCAAATTATCGAGACAAATGTAGCATAGGGTGAAAAAAATCCAGATAAACAGTAAAATTTCCCTGACAATTCCAGCTTTAAAAAATTCCCTGACAACGCCCAATTTTCCAGATTTCCCTGACCAGCTAGACACCCTGTTATTCGAGTCTCTCTCCCTCTTTCGTTCCCTCGAGCCTCTTCGTCTCGCGGGCATGGAATTAATTCACGAAAAAAGGCACACTTACATCGCAGGCGTTAGAAACATCGCTCGTCTCCGTCTCGTCCGGGGTGGCCAGGGGGGCTCGAGGGGACACGGGGGGCGCAAAAGAATCGTTCGCTTTCTCCTCGTTATCATCTCTCGTCGCCTCGTTAATGTTACCGGCGCGTTTCTCCTCGACGTCAGCCGATTTCGTGGCCTCCTCGACCGTCGTCCACGAGTCCAAATTCTCGTCGGCGGCCCTCTTCGCTTCCGAGAAGATCGTCACCAGGTTTGTATCCGACACCACGACCTCGGGCTTCTCTATGAACGTCGAATCCGACGCCGACAACTCGCTCGAGGACTCGTCCTGGTTCTGAGGATCCTCCGCGATCTCCCTGGGACATTCCGGGATGGATTCGCTTTCGAGAACCGCCGGTGAATCGGCGATCTCTGACAACTTCTGACACGTGCTAGACGTTTCTGTCAACATCTCAGATTGGCTCGCGAGATCGTCGTGAAAGCTCCCTAATTCGTCGTCGTACTTGTTGCTCGGCTTCGAGTTGGTCTCCTCGATTTCGGAAGACGGCATTTGCAAACTTGCCTCAACGTACTGATCGATATCCTCAAGCGACACCTCTTGATTGGCTTCTTCGCTCAACACGAGACGCTCCGTAGCAAGAAATTCCCGCGTGCTAGCCGCCTCCGAGAGTATCTCAGACTGGTTAGCATCGATGCAGTCCGAATCCTCGATGATTTCGGTGGGCGATTGTTTGTCCTGGGGAATCAACGTTTGCAAGTTTGCCTCGTCGCGTACCGGAAGCGTCACATCGCACAAAGGTTCCTCGTTCGCGGGAAAAAACTTGTGCTCGTCGACACCTGGATTTTGCTGGCAGAGCGTATTTATATTTTCCGCATCGTCCGACTTTTGCGTCAGTTCGTTCTCCTGATACGCGGAACAAGGTTGAGAGGTGTCGACAAAATTGGCCGTGACGTTGCTAAAATCCGGGACGTCTGTGGCAAGCTGCGGCTCTTCGGGCTCGTCTCGACTCGTTTTCTCGCCGACCTGATCCTCCTCCTGCTCGTAGAAATCTACCGGTTCCACGACTTCGGTATTGGCGTCCGGGGACACGTGACCGTTTTGATGGGGTTCCTCGATCAGGGAATAGTGCTCGCTCTCGGCCGCGATAAACTCCGCGTTGATGTCGATTGGATCCTGTCGACGATCCAGGACGATCCTCTTGATCGGCTCCGGTTGGGCGACGACCGGCTCCTCCTCCTCGAGCTCGTCGGCGATGTCGTCGTCGCTCTTGCTCGAGCAGATTCTCAGCGCCAGCTCGCTCTCGATCAGCTCCTGCAGGCTCTTGTCCTCGTTCTCGAGCTCGTTACGCGTATTATTCGTGAGTACGAGTTCGTCGTCGTCGTCGTCGTCGCACAACGAGATTAGTTGGTTGTTACTCGCGGTTAGATCATCCAAATCAATCAAACCGTTGTTAGACTGAACACCGCACACCTCGTTCTTCTTGCTACTTACGACATTGATCGATTTCTTCGTCGCCACCTCCGCCATCGTGATTCCTCGTGCGGTCACACCGTGGAGGCACCTGGAAGAGGACGATCGTTTAGAATGGAAAGTCATTTTAATAAATATATTTTGATTATGACTTCGAAAGCGACGTTATAAGGTGATTATTCATCCGATTTGAGGAATGTTAATGCCGCGACCTTACAGTATCATTTGTTTATGTAGAAGACTCCTGAGGTTATTTGGAGACGATTTTTCCTCAGCGAAAATGTCGAGGAAGGTCATCATTTTTATCTTCCCAATTTTTAATAAAGTAAACTTTACCTGAAATTAACTAAAAATGTAGTTTTGTTGTAATAATTTATTTTCACAAGGCTTACTTTACAAAGAAGCTTTTATTTTCAATCGTTTACAACACGAAAATTATTGGTGTCTGGACATTTTCGCTGAGGAAAAATCGTCTTTAAATCGTCTCAAAAATCTCTCATTAACGAGTGGCACGATAAGTCTAGAACACCCTGTATATTTTCATAAATTCTTATATTTATATTTTGATTTTGGCTTCGTAAGAGGACATATAATACGAACTGGAAAATTAGTCTTCTCTTCCTTTCTAACGAGAATAACAAGAAGAGCATATGAATTTATAGACGATTAATACAAGAGATGCAGATTAATACAGAGATGAAACTGGGCAACGGGAACGCAAAATGTAGAATCGATAAATAACGGACAACCGGTTTCCCTATGTAATTTCGAGCTAGAAAGTGCGAGATAGAATACAAATTTCACGGGACACTCGCTTGCGATGCGGGAAAACGTAAGACGCTACGCGTTAAATTAACGTTTTCAAGAGTATAATGAAAAATATACATTTTGCATATTAAAGTTTATGAGAGGAATACATTTCCAAAGAGATAGAAATTTTTGTGTTTGAGATTTTCTGTAAATATTCTCATAAGAAATCATTTTATAACATGTATTATCGAACGTTAATTCATTTAGCTATATTTATCTTATCATATAATACCTCTATTTTATACGACACAATAAGCATATATGAATCCGATCTCTTCAATCCTCGCACTTGACTTTCTCCGTATCGGTGTGCAAAGAAAACTCTTCAGGGACGCGCATGGTGAACCATCTGCCACTCGATGAAGTAGCGTCGGTTTATGGTTATGCAAAATATAGTTCGCGCAAGTGGTCGTGCAAGATCAGGGTCGAGAGGATATATAGCGCGCTTGTTAGGCAACTCCTGCCGGTCGCTTAAATAATGTTTGCTTAAATTTATTCCTTTTTCTTGCGTTGCATTTTTCGCCAATTTTATCCTACGCCAACTAAATTAATTTGCACCGTCATCATTACATCGCGGATATTAAATTTAACAAGTTTGCCGTATGATTTGTTACGTATCAAAAAATATATCGTTAAATGTTGGACGCGTGATGATAATTTTTAATGTCAAATTATGATAATAGCATAATCGCAGACATTTATTGTCGCGTTTCAGCGTGCATTTCGTGCACGTTCGGACGCTCTCGCAAATTTCTGACCTCGCTTACGAAATCGCCGCGATGGAATGCGTATGATATTCTCATACGCGGATATGCGAGATGCACCAAAAGCACCAAAAAGTCCGCCGCGATATTAACGGAAGTTACACGCCTCTATAGAGCCCGGTCGCGACTGCGGGCCGACGTTGTTGGCCAGCAAGCCAACCTCTCCTATTATTAGCCATTCCGCACGTCGCACATTTATACCTCTGCGACGGAATGCACTTTCAAAATATGAAATTCAAAACTCATAAAGAATATTCCGAAGAGGTAAAATTTCGAGGAAGTCGTTATTTATAATTGCTGTTGAGAGGCCGTGGAATTAAAATTAACGTGCGTGTCACTATTTATTTATGCTCTTCTAGTTTCTTTTTTTTTTTTTTATATCCTCCGTACATATAATTAAAACTAAAATTACTCATATGTAATAATATAATTCAGATTGAATTAATTTCGTGAATCAGAGTAATGGAGAACAATTTGAGGAAATTTCACTTTGCGGTGGCCCAATTCGCAGCGTTTTATTAAAAGAGAACCGTATATTATAATCTCTCATTCATCTTCTTTTTCGGCCGCTCGGGAAGGTATAACGGTCCCTCGTTAATTCCCTCCGTAATTTGACAAATTCCGGCGCTGTACGTACATACATCCCCAACACCGTAAGAGTTTATAAACAGAGCCGGTTCGATGTAAACCGACGCGGCGAGTTCAAAATTAGAAAGTAATGTGCGTGGGGCGAGAGATTTCTTACGCATATCGGCTTCTTTGCGTCCTTAGAACGCGATATCGCGCGCAAAATTTTAATTTTATTTATTCGAGTCACCTTCGAGTCTTTCGCAGCTGTTTAATTTAATCTCACCCTCTTTCTCTTACGCGCTTTTTTCCTTCTCTCTTTCTCTTACTCGTTCCTCTTTACACGACGTTTCACCGAGGTCGTTCCTCGGGTTCACGACCGAAGTACTCTTTCCCTCCATCTCTTCATCTACCTCTTCTTTAGCCTTCTCTCTATTCGTCCTGCCACCTCTCGTTCTCCCGCGTCTTTGGCTTCCCTCTCGTTTCAACCTCTCTTTATTTTTAGAATGACACACTACCGCGATTCAAAGACGCATCGCGTACAGAGAGTCCTCGGAAAATGTTCTGCCCAAATGTGGTGAGCGAACGAGAACGAGAGCGAGCGTTATGAAGGCGATCCAGGAGAAAGAGAATTTTTTTCCCTTTCGGGTCGTGCGACAGATGCGTCGTATGAACCCTGGGACCTAAAGGTCCGGTCGTAACCCTCGCCGCAGGAAAGGAAAATTTGCGAGATCGCTCGGACAAATTGCAAGTAAGGAAAAAATCTCACGAGTCTGACTTATTATTTCGAAAATCAAATTGAGTTATTAAACGATTTCGGCCAAATGTGAAGCATCGTATATCTAAATTTCACCGAAGAAATTTCAGACATGTGTTTACTCGAGAATTTGTAGTCCATAACAATTAGTTTTGATATATTCCGTACAAAAGGATTGTAAGATTATTGTAATTTCGAGAGCTAATAAAAGATAATTGATCACGCAATCGGAGTTCGCTGGGCGTTTCTCCTTGAAAATTCGAAGACTCTCGACGATCATTTCACGGTGAGATAAAGACGGTAGATAGATATACATACGTATGTACAACAACGCAAATTACGATAATAAATAGAATCTGCTTACGCTTTAATTATGCGCCATTAAAAAGAAAATGCCTCGGAATGTGGTCCAAATAGCAGAATCATATACCGATCTTGAAATGTACACGCGAGAGTGTTGCACATGCCGTCGTTTTTTTTTTTTTTTTTGTGTGCTCGGAAAAACGTGGTGATCGCAACATTTTTAATTGTACAGTAAATGCGCTCGCGCTAACAATAAGTATACCTTCGAGAATACCAATTCCACGTATATACAGCAAAGTCGTTGGAAACGCAAGGTTCACATATAAGAGCACCCACCATCGCGTATATCCGCGATTCTCGGTGCATCTACTATGGAATTAAAGCCTCCGAACGGTACCGAGCCTGCTGCGTAGACTATGAACGCGTTCGATGAGTTAACAAGCGTGTAATTACATTCGATCGAACAATATGTTGAAAATAATTTCATATTAAATCTCGTAATCACATAGGTAGATAAAAACGGCAAAGTGAACAAAAGATTTTAAGTGCTTATCGATCTTGCGAAATTTCGCACTGATAAAAATAATCATTTTTGAATTTATACCTAATTGCAATAACTAAATATATATTTCAGATAATACGTCTCGTTATTATTAATAAACTTGCTCAATTACGTGACCTTTTAATTTAAAAGTTTGTTCAGTCGCGTTTAATAGATATATTAATATAATGCGATTCTCTTTAAAATTTGCCAATTTCTTGATATAAGTGACTAAATAGGAAATAATGTCGTCGTTTTTCTCTCCTATTCTCCGACCTATAAAGTTTTCGGCCGTGATCAATAATGTAAATTTTACTATTCAGGACTGTTGAATAATGCAAACACTTCGCTGCCCGGATTAATCGTGATAGGTCTTCATCTCAATAACGATTTACCGGGAACATCGCGCTTCGGTGATTTTATTCAACAAAACGACGACTACTTTACGTATCCGCGTCAAATTAGAATTCCTAAGGATTATCAAATACCTCAATTATCTACGCACACATTCCTTTATTCAACTGCTTTCGATTTCTTCAAAAGTACTAGTACAAAAGTATGCACGTTTCGGTTAATTAACTAGTGGAATATTTCCATCTTTTTTTTAGATATAAGTACATATAGTAAATAAATATTTTAATTAAAATTTTTTAAGAAAACCTATATACATATATATGTAGATATTTCAATTAAAAAATTGGATCGCTCATATTAAATTCATCATTAAAAATGAAATAAAATGATAAGCTCTATAATTTGGATTATTGATAATTCGAATGCAGGTAGGTTCTTTATTAAGAATCCTCCGCGCCATCTTCTCTGCCCTTTGTGTGCATGACGTACGTGTGATACGGTCTTATAAATCATCTCTGAAAAATAAATCCGTGGAAACGCAACGCACGCACGCACGCGGCCTTCCGCGTGTCTCACGCACGGCGTTGTGCGCTTTCATTGCACAAGTCAGCCAAATGCATAAGGCGCGGTCCCGGCTCTCTCTTTTGGATGCACTCGCGGTGTCCCCTTACAGATTTCTATGTGCAACTATAATTAGGTAACCGACACCGGCGGACTCTGCCGCCGTAGGAATCCCTGTTAACCGTTAAGCTATGTCGCGGCGGAAAGTGTGGCGCGAATATTTTCGGCGCGAGGAAAGCCGAAATTAAACGGCCGGCGTAATGCTTCCTCGGCCTTATTTACTTACACCCGTTACTTCCCACTCTTTCTCTTTTCTTACTTTTTTCCCCCGTTTTGGAAACGCGCGCGATAATTCCGGGCACGCGAGCGAATAAATCGCGTCATAAATCGCGCTCGAAGAAGAGGAGTCTCATATTTTTCTTCCCTTTTCGTCC